CGCCGCGGCGCGGCGGCCGGGCGACCTCGGGGCTGCGCTGCAGAGCGCAAAAGGAGGTGGCTGTGCCCCGGCAATGTCTGTGCGCCTCCTGCCCCTCCGTTCCAGCAGGGACCGGGGGTCTTGCAAGCAAACTGCACTCGCAGAGCCGACTGTCCTTGCATTGTGTGCATTTGAGGTGTTTGGGGCGCACAGGGAGAAACGAGAGATCTGCGCGGGGTTAAAGCTCACCCATTCCTCCTTGGACCTGAAAACCAAGGGTCCAGAATGCTAGGACTTACTTTGACCATGCAGCCTTGGCAAGGTCGCCAGGCAGCACTCGGAATGGCAGCGTATGTGGCCTTTACGATTTATTGCAATCAATACATCCTGAAGTCTTGCCCTCTAAGACTCCGGGTGACTGTGTTGACAGCTGTTTCTGTCACTCAAAAAGAGACAACTGCCTCAAAGCTAATTGCATCATCCTTATTCCCTCTTCAACCCTGCAAACCCCCACATGTCCACCACACGCCTCGTCCGCGTCCCCAGAGCACAGCTCTTCCCGCCGGGCTCACGGGGACACTCTCCCCACTACATCTACAGACGGCTGCGTTTGCTCATCGCTGTGGCTTCAGTTCAAATCATGCACAGATGGGAGGGCTTCCACTTCGCAGTCCTGATTTATCTCCACATTCATTTCCGTCATAAAACCCAAACCTCCTCTTGTGGATTCCAGGCCCCAGTGACCTTCCATCGTTTCCAAGGCTGTAATCTTACAGGAGAAGATGGCCTGTCTTTCTGAGCAGCTGGTGGGTAGAAACCCTCAGTTTGACATAACATACACCGGGGCTCACTCTGAAGAGTGATTTCCATCCTATGCAATGGTGTCCACACTTCTTGTATATTTTTTTCCACTGGGATAGAATCTCCATGAAATCTTAGGGACCTTGTCTCTGTCTTACTCTCCTCATTGGATCCCCAGAATTTGGCACAGGATTTAAAAAGCTAAACTCGCTGCACCATGGCAGTGTGCAGAGTGGGACCAGGGCCTTCTCTGCTGCCACAGGTGGAGTCCTCAGGAGAGGAATGCCATAAATAAGGAAGACCGAGAATCTATGTCTTGAGTTATGATGTTGGCAAAGAGTAAGAAAGAAACCATGAACTGCCAAAGTCAACAAATCTTAGAATAGACACGGTCTCGTTGAAGTCTCCTTAGAACTGTGAATGCATTGTGTGCAAACACCAGAAATATGCAGCAACCTGGCAAGTTCAAAGGCTTTTCTTCCAGAGGTAAGAGACTCCGGATACCTCTAGAACTCAGCGTCCCACATACTTTAGGCATGTTACCAGGGAAGGTTAGTCCCTGATGAAGGACCTTATGCTTAGATGAGAGTCAGTGAAAAGAAGGAAGACCCTCAATGAAATGGGCTGATGCAGCCATGGGCTCGAGGTCAGAGATTGTGGGGATGGGACATGAACTGGAGCCTTCATCTCTTACACGTAACCATCACCATAAGTAGCAACAGACTCGACAGCCCCCAATACCCTTGATGGACCACCAAGCTCTGCTTCCAATGTGGACTCCAGCCTCCCACATTGTGGTTGGCAGCTGGGCAAATGAACAGTGCGCACCACCCACAGAATCCCTGGCACACAGTAGGACCTCAATAAACGTTTACTGAATGAACAAATGGAAGGAATGAACTTCTAAAATGACCCACGAGCTCTCTTGCTCTCCTTTTCTATTGACGGCATGATGGAAGGTCTGATTTCTTCCCCGCCTTTCTAGGGATCCTCTCCCAGTCTCCCTTCTGTTGCACCTTAACCCTTTTGTATGGCCCATCGCACTCTAGCTATGCATCTGTTTTAGTGCCTTAACAAGCCTTTTTCACTTATTTTGGAAAAAAAAATTTACTATAGAGGTCCTCAACTTTTGAGGCTCACAGACCCCTCTCTGAAGTCTGAATAGAGGGAGCTGTGGTGGCCTAGTGGCAAGAAACTGTGCTACGATCCTAGAGGTACGCAGTTTGAATCCAACAGATGCTCTGCTGGAGAAGGAAAAGCAATCTTCTCCTGTACCAGTCAGATCCAATTTAATGGTACACACACAAAATAATTTTTAAAAAAATAAGTCTGAATAGAAAAAAATAATGCACACAAACAGAGGATTATTGCTATACTTATCCAAGGATGGAATAGGGGTGCTGCTTTCCCAAAATTTCCAACTGATGGGAGTTCTTAGTTACGTGTCTCCTTTCTGACTCCTAAGCCAGTGCTCTGGTAACTGAGAAGTCAGGTTTCCAAAACTCAGAAGGGGTTTGCAGCCCTCTAACGGGGCATCAGATCCTAGAGGAAGAAACATTCACAGGTATGTAGTTCTTGTGTTACATACTGACAAAAGCCACATCATTCATTCATCTATTTTTTTTTTAAAGTATCAAGCCAAACAACAGACAGGCTGTAAAGTGAAACAGTAACACCAAGGAGGACTGCACTACTTAGAACCACCAATCACACAAGACCAAGAGGACAGTATTTGCCCAGGGACAAATCTCAGAAGTGGGACAATATAGGAGAAGAGGGTGAGCAGAAGTGAGATACACAGGGAGGAAGAGAGAGGAGTGCTCTTACACTGTGGAGACTGCAATCAACGCCAAACAGCAAGCAGCACAGGAATGACTGAAATCTCATTTCAACAACTGGGAAACGAGAAAGCCAATTTGCTCTTCTTGAAACCACATGAGAAAGTTTTTAAAAATTTTTATTGAGCATCAACTACATGTCAGGCCCTGGCATGTACACTAGCAATGACCAAAGTAAGAGGAAGGGAGGAAGGGAGAAAAAAAGAAAGAGAGAGAACAAGAGAAAGAGAAGGAAGGAAGGAAGGAAGGGAGGGAGGGAGGGAGGGAGGGAGGGAGGGAGGGAGGAAGGGAAAGGAGAATCTTGCCCTCAAGGGGC